GCGAACCCAGACCTGAGCGGTCCTGAAGACCCACAGACTCTCCCTCCCTGGGCTATCTCCTCTCCTGCCACACCACCACAGACCAGAGCCCTGTGTGGGCTATGGAAGTCCATTCTTTCACCGCAGCACCCAGAACATTCAGCTACAGTCACATCCACCTTCTCTCCAGAGTCATGGCAGGGTCAGAGTGGGGACATTAAGATGTCTCAATGAGTAGGGCTCATTGACTGAAGAGAAGCCCTCAGTGTGGACTCCTGATCACGCTATTCTCCAATTTTCTTTGTTCACAGATTTAGTCATGCTTGTTATCTGCCCAACCAGTGAGTCGTTCATTAAAATGCCTGTGAGCCCTCGACACCCTCCAGGTCCAGCCCTGCGTGGAGGATGTTCCACGCTGAGTGAAACGCACTTCCTGCTCTTGAGGAAAGCTCTAGAATTTAGAAGAGACCATCCTGGGGCAGAGAGAACCCAAGGGAAGCAAAGTTTTGACTAGTGTGCTGGAAAGGAAGCGTCGATTCCCTGAAGAGAACTGCACACGCGAAGGTGACATCAGAGGTCGCGGCATGCGTGATGTGAGGGGTTAGAGATGAAACCACAGGGAGAGCCCAAGGCTCAGCCCCCTGGCCTGACCCTCACCAGGTCCAGTCTCCAGGGAACCCTGAGGAGGCAAACTTAGCACTTGTGTGACTACGACGTGTCCTTCGCCCCAGCACAGCATCACCTCCATGGCAACCTGGACCTCACCACTGCTGTTCAGGCTGTTTAAACTGCTAACAACGGGGAAAAAGCCTCCCTAAGGGCAGTTAACATGGTTCCTCCTCCTTGAAATGTGATGTGAAAATCTCTCTCACGTGGAGGTGGGTCCTGCCTTCTTCGCATCTCCCGTTTCTTAGTTCATGCTGATTGCCAGCTCATCAGTCCTTGGGCCCAATAGTGGACGGCCACTGGCTCTCTGACAACGCTTTGGGAGCTCTTGGGTGGGCTTGATTCTTCTACCTTCTCCACCCCCACTACCCTCGGCTGGTTTTCAGTTTCTAAGCCCTTGGGAGCTAGAGATCCAGGTGACCCATCACCCTTGGTAAATTGTCTGAGCAGACAAATTCTGGGGTGGCCTCGACAGAGGCCATCAGAGCTAGAGGCTCCATGGGATTTAAATGTATGGATCCTGTGATGGGACACTAGCATCTCAGGGGCCTGCGGGGCTCAATTATTTGGTGTGTTTGAGAGTTAAAATTCTCACCAAGCGGGCTGGCCGAGTGGCTCAGTCAGTTAAGAGCTCGCTCAAGAGTGCGAGCTCTGAGCAACAGCGGTTCGATGCCCGGCCCAAGCTGAGCTGCCGCTGAGCTTCCAACAGGTGGCAGGATGGCTCAGCTAAAAAATAAAAAATAATTCTCACGAAGCAATCTCTGTAAAAGAGAGGGGTCACTTGTCCATTTAGGATGAAGCCGCAAAGGTGCAGGGGATGTGAGGTTATGGCAAAACTGAAAAGGCTACAGGAGTAACCTTCTCCAGTCTATTTCTTTCTTCAGAAAGGCTTGAAAAAGTTAAGCAGCCAACAAACGCACAGGGACCAAATTAAAAAAAAAAATTGTGTGAAGGCCTCATATGGTGGAAAAGTTCTCAGCAAAGAAAGTACGAACAGAAGTGGGGCCACAGTCCCATTTCGGCCCATTCAGAAGTGGGCACTGAGCAGGCCCCTAATGGGGTGACTTTGTCCACCTTAGTTCCCCTCTTTGGTTCCTTTATCCTCATTTGCAAGAGGAAGTGACATGCGGAAGGAAACACTTCCAGCTCCTGAGGTTTTGTGGGCGATTGTTCTTATTACATAAACATTTCCTTTTTATATGTATGTAAAAAGACTTCCATCTGCTGGGCATCCACACAATTTCTGAATAAATTTAGAATATCTACACAGACAATACAAATTTTAAACAATTTTTTTAAAAAACAAAAAAGGCTTTGAAATGCAGTAAGAAATAAGCCCTGTGTATTTAGTACATCTCTCCCCTCCACTCTGTCTTCATTTACTGATGCAGGGAGCTGAGGCCACAGCACATCCTTGGTTCAACAGAGACACGGAAGGTCATTCAAAGTTTCTTCACTGCAGAAGCCTCCGTCTGAACACAGTTCTAAAGGGTAACTCCCAGTGTCCCTTAACTGTTCTCCCCAGGAGAAATCCAGCTTTCAGCCTAATGTTAGGCTTGGGTCAGGCACACCGAGCACAGTCACTGTCCTGTCACGCTGGCCGGCACGGTCGCGGAGCGACCCCCTCTGCTATGCCTGCTCGCCAGCACCGCCTGCACTGGCCCCGGAGCCTTTGCCAGGTGCCTGGGCTTCCGAGGAGCGCGAGGCCTGCTTTGGCAGGCGGATGGGGACGTAGACGTTGGAAGCGCAGTGCTCCTTCAGGTACTCGCCTCCCTTCTCTTCGTAGTCTTTCCGGGTGACCCAGACGGCATCATCATCCAGGTGGTCCAAGGCCCAGTCACGGGCACCGTACCAGGCGTCCAGCACGGGGTTAGAGGCAAGCTGCACCTGGATACAAAGAGCACATTCGCCAGGGGGCCGTCTCCCATCAGGACACCAGGAGCACCCAGCTGCAGCCCCTGACCTTCCATCCCCCAAAATATACACACAGGAGGGCGCCAAATACTCCCAAGACAGTGCAGGACTATCCCTGCATCCTCCAAACAAGGCTGAGCTGAAATGCACCCCTGCTCTCCAAGAAAGCACACAAGAATGCAAAGCACAGCAGACTTGGCCTGACAGAGTATGCGGTTGTCAGCTACTTTAGGAACACAAGACCTGCCACTCTGGGTCAGAGAGGGACCAGTTGGCCCTCCTCCTGCTCCAATGAGGGACCACAAGCTATCAGGTGGACAGGGAAGCAGAGCTGGCACTGCACCTGGAGGAAAGGCCTCCCTGGCCCGGATCCCCCCTCTGTGAGCAGGGGCAAGCAGAGGCTGATATGCGGCGGCTCTGGCCATGGTGCAGATGAGCCTCAGGAAAAATGAGAGGAGAGAGGACGGCCTGGGGCGTCCTCCATGATGCTGCCAGGGCTCCGCTCCCGTTGCTCGTTATCAGAGCGCGGCGGGGAGACGACTTATTCTCCATGTCGGCTTCTGTGGTCTCTGAATTTTATTATATGCATGTCTTCCTTTCTCAGTTAAAAAAGAAATCTATAAAATATGACTCCCATTCTGCTTTAAAAACTAACCATAGAGACCAGAAGGAAAAGCCAAAAATGTTAACAGTGATTATCTCTGGATGATGGCATTATAATTTTTCTCACTTACATTTCATTCATTACTTTTGCAATCAGAAAGCAAGTGATTAATGCTATTTGCAAAGCAGCTGGTTACATGAACCATCAGTACCTGAAAAGATGACTGAAAGGGTCTCATCTCCAACAGCTCCTTCTCAATTCTGCCTTTCATCCCAGGATACATCATGTTCCCGCCAGTGAGGAAAACATTCTGAACCAGCATGTCCTGAACGCCCTTTGGGTACCTAGGAGAGAAACCATTCCTTCTGGTATAGTCCCTCCAACTTGAGTAGCAGAAGAGAATGCAGATGTGGAAATGTAAGCTCTTGGTGCAAAAGGGAAAACATCTGCACCAAGTTTGTTTTAAAAACCTCCATTTTTCATTTGTCTTCATGAAATGCCAAGTATCTCATCAAAACCTTAATCTGGGGGCCGGCTGAGTGGCTCAGTTGGTTAAGAGTTGGCTTAAGAGCGCAAGCTCTGAGCAGCAGGGCCACCGGTTCAATTCCCACGTGGGCCAGTGACGCCGCGCCCGAGCTGAGCTGCCGCTGAGCTGCCAACAGGTGGCAAAATGGCTTAGCTGGTGAGAGCACGTGCTCCTAACAACAAGACTGCCTGTTTGATGGTGGGCTACGCCTGCCCGCAACTAAGACTGAACTTGGCACCTTGAGCTGAGCTGCCACCTTGATGGCTCAGTGGATAGAGCATGTGCTCTTAACAACAAGGCTGGTTTGACTCCTGCATGGGATGGTGGGTACGCCCACCCACAACTAAGATTGTAACACAGCACCTTGAGCTTAGAGACCACAAGCTGCCAACGGGCAGCCAGATGGCAGCTGGCGCCCTCCACAACTAAGACTGAAGAACAACTTGGCTGGTCCCCCTCCCCAATTCCCCAACACTGTTCCCCTCCCCCAAGTCCCCAATTAAAAAAAAAAAAACCTTAATGTGAATGGTCAATTTATTTCCTTAACATGATAAGAAGTTTTGTGCCTTTCTAACACATTTTTTTAAAAGCTGACTTTATTAAAGATCAATATATATTTTGATGGTCTAACAAATTTGCATACCCCAGTAACCATCACCACAATCATGTTCTAGTGTATTTCCATCACCCCAGAAAGTCCTGCCTCCCTTTTGCGGGTCCGTCTCTCTGCCTGTGCTTTATTTTTTTATTTTATTTTTTTTTTAGCTGAGCCATCCTGCCACCTGTTGGCAGCTCAGCGGCAGCTCAGCTCGGACCGGGAATTGAACTGCTGTTGCTCAGAGCTCTAACTCTTGAGCAAGCTCTTAACCAACTAAGCCACTCGGCCGGCCCACGTGCTTTATTTTTAAAGAACAGTTTTATCTTATCCATGTTTGACCACTTTCCCACCCAATGCTGGACAAAGCGAGAGCCCCTCAAAGGAGCTGCAACAGCATTTCTCCCTTGCTGGGTGTAAGCTTCCATTTTCTTTTAACCAACAACAGCCAAAGTACTAAATATCACATTCCCTACTCGTCCAACATGAATTATGAAAACTCACACTGCAGGAAAACGCCTGTGTAATGGGTGGGGGAGCCATGCTCTTGTAGAAACAGAAACTCCTAAATAGATAAAATGTCTACAAGGAGGGAGAGAAACTTAAAAGTTCTGCACATTTTTAAGGTGCTTTAGAATCACTAGCCTTCATTATAAAGGTTTCTATGAAAGCCAATGCGCATACATCATTGTGCTGCTCAAACTCAAGAGAAATTCTTAAAGCTCCTCAAATCAACTGTACACTTACATGTCCATTCAAGAACTACAAAGCCCCAACTATGCACCCAGCCTGGTGAGATAAAGGACATTATCTGAGCACAGCAAGTCAACGAGAAGCGGAGAGTGAGAACAGACTTCCACTGCCTGACCAGCAAATCTACCATTTAATGCACAATCCTGGAAATGGTTCAGGAAAAGAAGTTTCAGTCTCACCTGTCCAGAATGTACTGAAGGGTCTCTGCTATCCCAGCCTGCTCTTCGCCTATGAGAGATGGCTGGAAGATAATTTCTGGAGCTCGAATTCTTTCTGTGCCAACAAACAGCTGATGATACGCTGCCAAGTTAAACACGGGCTTTAAAAACCCAAGGTTTAGAAGATATTTTTAGGCCATAATGACAGACATCCCAGTTGCCAGTTTCCTCAAACCGCATTGCTTATTCCAACATAGCTTCTGTCCTTCGTTCGTGCCAGAGTAACCCTCCTCCAACTCTCTTGATTTGATAATTCAATTGTGTACCCTTTTTCCACTTCTGTATAAATACCTACACATTTAAATCACAAAATGGTCCCCAAACTGCAGGGCAAGAGACTTGGTGAAGAGCAGCAGCAGAAAGACTGGGAGACCAGGTCTCCTGCCCAGGGCCTTGCTCAGCACCGCTGGTCCCTGCACCGCTGTGAAAGCTTTCTGCCAGCTGGGTCTCAGAATCAGGGCAGGCTCTCTGGTTGCCATGGTAATGACAGAAACGTAGACCCAAATGAGGATAAGGAAAATGACACAGGCTTAAATTTGAATGAAACCACAAAAGCTAGTGTTCAGGTCTAAAGTCCCCAATTTCTTGCCCAAATGTTTCCATCAGACAGACTACTGCTCACAGATTCACAGATCTTGGTGCTGGAGCCACAATCAATCACTCGGGGTGGGGGAGGTGGGGGGCGGGGAACCTGACTTCGGGTGTTTTAAGTATTAGTAACCCCCTTTCCAGAAAATATAATTGGGAATTTTTTTTAATATCCCTAAAGAAGCAGACTAGACTAGACTGGCCATTTATGTCACAGCTTCAAAGCATAAGCATGGTCTAGGCTGCAGGGGTCCAACCTGGATGGTGGGGACTGGCTTCTCTACTTCCGGCGTTTCCTCTGAAAACAAGGGTTCAAAATCATTGATGCTTTCCACATCTTCCAGAGACGGCTCTAGTGGCTCCAGGTCAGGAGTCTAAGGATAAAATAAGTAGAACAGATCCTGTAACTTAAGCGAGCCTTAGTTCTGTTAGTTCACTGTCATGAAAAAGAATTGGGATCCCACCCAATGGCCTCAAAGTTCACGTAAAAACCACAAAAAATGTTCTAAACTGTTACACACATACACACACACACACACACACACACACACACACACACACACACACACACGATCACAAGAATTAAAAGACTGAAAGGCCAGGAACGAGCCTTGCTCTTGTCCCCTGCCTTTCCAAACCTCACAAACCTTGCAAACCTCAATTCCTACCTTCTCTCTAAAGCCTTCTGATGGGGCCTGCTCTCACCAGAGGCCTCGCGGGAGCCTTGCTGCCTGTGGCAGTCGCAGCACCACACACAGAATTCGGGGAAGAGGGTGCGACAGCCCGTATCCTACAAAGTGGCTTAGACTACCAGCAAAATTAAATAGATCTCTTAATCATTAATATATACATGCACCAACACTAACGGGCTTAACAATTAGTCCCTTAACAGCAGGTCCATCAGGCTGGGGATGTGACTGAAAGTTGCAACGTGGCAGAATGCTTTCTATCTGTGGAGTCCTACAGAACAGGCTTTCCTTTCCGACAACAATGAACCTGGGTGGGGCCTAGACCTGCTGGTACCATCCCCAATAGAGGGTTTGGGATACATTTTAATTTTGACCTGGACAAAAGAAGTTAGGTTGGAGTGGGGGGTTGGCTCTGGATGACATTTTCAGCCATCTGTGATTCTGCCTTGTGAAAGGCAGATGAGTTTTACCTTCTGGACTCAAAGGGGAGAAGTTACAGGAAGAAATATTCTGTTGAACTCCACGGAAGAATGCTCTAACAATGACAGCTGTTGTAGGAATGACTGTCCCATGAGGGGGTGTGTTGGGAGGGTTCAAGCAGACTCAATACCATCAGCCAATCATGCCTGAGAGGAGATTCCTACATTGGGCATACGGCCTCTGAGTCCCTCCTTATTCTCAAAATCTATGAAGCATGTAAATTACCGACATAATTCAGAACACTTAAATATACTTCTCAAGAACCTATCCATAGATACTGCAGATGTAAACTAGTATTCAAACTCACTATTAAATAAAACAATGCCCTTCAACACTCCTCTTCGCCCCCCCCCCAAAAAAAAAGTCATGTGGCATATGTGGCTTATATAATAGATGGATGACAATGTATTCTAAATCCTGATCAATATAGATGATTCCACCATATTTAAGAGGAGAGTAAACCCTGGAAAGGCTAGGGATGTTTCTTCATCTGAGACTAAAGAACAGGATGAGAGGGGCCGGTTTAGAAATAGGTAGTTTAAGGAGGAAAGAAAGTGGGCTGGGAGGAAAGAAAGTGAGGACCTTGCTCTTGGTGAAGGAGATGAGAGCATCTCTGCCAATTCTGAATCCAATTCAGGAGCAGACACACCTGCTCCTTATGCGATCCTCACTGCAAACACCACTCCACTTTCTAAGTGATGATATAGGCTCAGGAGGTAAAATAACTTGCCCAAGATCACAGTGCACTAGTTATGGTGGAAACTTGGCTACAAACAAAACTTCTTAGCTCCAAAGTCTCTGCTCTGCCTTAAGCTGAAATTCTATAAACCATGAGTCTCGGTGTGAAAGAAGAGTTGGGAATTTAGGAGTATGGAAACCATCTAGCTGGCCTGAGGTCAGCGTAAGCAAAAAGAGGAGCATGAAAAAGACTTTACAGCAGCAAGACAAGCTGAGTGAACGACAGGCTTCTCCGCCCCAGCAGGGGCAGCAGAGCACACATAAAAACACATTCCCCTCGCTGCTGTCTGCTTTCTCTGACCTGGAAGACTCTCAGCTCCCCTCACAAGAAAGCAGCCCTACCCTGGGAGTGCCTGTGCCTGTTCTGGCTGGGCACTAAACTCTGGTCCCAGGAGAAGATCGGAAACAGATCACACAAGTTCCCTTTCACTTGGTGGCTTGTCATCCAGGACAAGAAACCAGGGAGCAGTGTGGTGTCACAGAAAGAGGTAAGGCTTTGAGGTCACACTGATCCAGCTCTGAATGGCAACCAAAAATCTCTTTATAGTCACAGTGGCACATCCTGCGCGTTGGAGCCTGCTTCCTCCTCTGTAAGTCTCTACCAGGGCTGGCTTCTCTCCGTCTAGGGTCTGCCAGGGTCTCCAAGTGGATTGTGTGGCATTTAGGAACACAAACATCACTGTTCTTTTGGAACTGAAGAGAATGATGGTTTGCCAAAACACATCAGAGAAGACGCAGCATGGTTCCCTGGAACGACCCCGAGTGGCATGGAGGCCAGCTCTGACCTTGGCTAGTCTGGCAAGGGAACTTTCTATATTTGGCCCACTGTGTTTTCCAACAAATGGTGATGCTGTAAAACTGTGAAAGTGAGCATCTTCTAGTTTAAATATTCACAAGAAGGCTAACAAAACCCCTCCGCCTCCTTGGAATACTTGCGAAACAACAAGGGCCGGATGGATTTAGTCCATAGGAAAAAATAGATTTTAGAAAACACTAAGTTAAAAAATTTAGCTGCATTAATCCAATTTAGCTGTTACTGCTTGGATGGCATTTCAATATGAACTTTCGTCCACATAAATATATTCTTTCCATTCTAAATGAATTAAGAGAATACTACAAATACTTTCTGAAAAGTAGAACTGACAAGTCAGTGTCATGGTCAAATTTATCCCAGGACGGTTACTGTAGCTGACTCTAGTCACAAACAATAATCCTTAATAAATGCTTATTGACCATTCAAGCTCTGGGGACAGATCAATTCATCAAATTTGTTGTATACAGAGAAATTTTGTGAAGTCTGACATTTCAAAATCTCCCTAATCCCAGAGAGATTTGAATATGTACCCCCTGAGCACAGAACAAAGTGGGGACTTAAGTATCTGCTGAATGAACGAAGGAGTGGTTGTGTAACAAATGCAGAAAAATGAACAAAGGATAAACTAGTTCCCCCACTGCTCAGGGACCACATCTTCACATCACAGTTGGGTTTTGTTTGTTTTTTCTTCTTTTTAAATCTGCAATCCCTCACCTGCCTGTGGCTTAGGGCACATCTCTGGTTAAGGGCGCTAATGTCCTGTTGACAAGTTAAGCATGATGAAAACTAAATATGGATAAATAGACAGCAGAGACAACATGGTTCTGAAGCCCAGTAAACAAGGGCTCAAATCTGAAACAGGCCTTACAACTGGGAGAAGCAAACTAGAAAAGGCATGTTGGGTCCACCGAAGCTGATCCGGGATGCTGCGTGTGAGTCAGATGGCGGCAAAGGTCCCTTCGACCCAAGAGCTCGGCGAGCCAGTAAGCTGTAGCTAGGAAGCCTGACTTAGGGCCTGCTCTATCAAACACGCATGCTCACGGCCAGGTGCGAACCTCGCATAGTCTACAGCCCGTCAGAGGCAGGTGGAGAATGAGGTCTGAGCGAAGGAACAGAGAGTGAGCCTCCAGTTGAGAGAGGGTCACTGCAAAAGCCAGCTTCATGCTGAGCCAAAGAGCTCTAAAGTCACCGGTAAGCACAACACTACGCCCAGCACCAAACTGGATTTTTCTACAGGACTGTTTCTTTTTAAAAGTATAGGCTTTAGGTTTAAAGAAATCTGATTTAAAAACAAACAAAAAAACCAATAAGCTAAACTGGTTAATCCTTCCCCAGAAGTGTTGTAAGGCAATAAACAAGTTCCTTTGTTTTAGAACTCGAGAAATGACAGACTCAGGAACAATGCGTACACTTGTTAACACTTTTTTCCAATTCTAAAGACAGGAGAGCCAACCCAGGGCTTCAGATGGAGGCGTGACCTGCAGCAGCCCCTGCACCACACAGGGCCCAGAGCTAAGGGCTGCATGACCCAGGGCCCTATCTCAGCCCTGCCACCTGCCCTTTTGGCACCATCAACACTATTAACAGTCTAACTATTAACAGGCAGGAAAACAAAATGGAGAGACATAGAAGATCAAGAGCTTATTCAAGACTTAATCTTTAGTAACTAATAAAAAGCTGATCTTAAATTAATCCAAAAACATTTTCCTGAGCATGTCTACCAGCTGCCATAAAAAATTCATCCACTATGTATGAAGCCTGATCCCTGTCCTTAGGAAACATCAAGATGGAAAGGAGGTAAGTACATATGTTTAATAAAGCATCAGAACAAAGCTAAAGGGAGTATATGACTAACCTCCAAAGAACCATCGCGGGAGCAGGTTCAGGGTCAAGACAGCAACACACGATGGGCGTGTGAGTGCTCTTCCTACTCTACACACACACTTCCCTCCCAGGGGGGCCAGAGGTCTACAGGGTAAAAGTCCCCGGATCAGAACTTCAGTTGGTACAGGTCAGTGCTATCACTGCCCCATCCGTGTTCACGTGGACGTCACTCACCACACCACTCTTTCCCCCAAGTCTGGTCACAGCCTTCTCAAGACACTCAGGAAGGGCTGTGCCCTCTACGTGAGCCCACAGGCCCTCCTCCCAAGGCCCTTCGTACCTCTGGCTTGCTGTCCACCACATCCACCTCGAGGGTGACTTCTGATTGAAGGATTTTCTGCTTAGCTTGCTCCACTGCCGAACTGAGCTTGTGGATGTAGGACTGCAGCTCTTCTGGGGAGTCCATGTTCAGCTCTATCAGCGCTTTGTGAAACTGATCCATCTGGCCATCCTCTAGAAGTTCCTGAAACCAGAGCAGTCACGATTCATCCTCTAAGACATCAGTGCAATCACAAACAGGAAGGAAAGAGAAACAGCTTAGGAACCAAACAGAGAACTACAGCAGGAGAGGGCTCCCGGAGCTCCCCCACCTGCTCCTCCACAGAAATCACACCGAGAGGGCTCCCGGAGCTCCCCCACCTGCCCCTCCACAGAAATCACACCTCCCACCCAAGTTCCACACAGCTGTCCTCCTCCCCGGCCGTCTCTAGGCTGCCATCATCTCACAACATCAGCACCATCTGATTAGGCGAAACTAACCTATGGTGACAGACATCAGAAATGTTGTTACCTTCTGGGTGGGGAGAGGTGGGAAGCTTACTGACTAAGGAGATGTGAGGGAGGCTTCTGGGATGCTGGGAAGGCTCTATGCATTGATCCGGATGGCAGATATGTGGTGTGTTTCATGTGAAAATGCACCAAGCTGTACATGTAAGATCTGTGCACTTTGCAGCATGTATGCCACACTTAAAAGTTAAAAACTAAAATAAAGGCGATTATAAGGCCAAAATAAATCAAGAAAAGCAGAGTCCACAGCTCTTTCAGAAATACCTGCTGCTACACTGTCCTCTATACTGATGACCCCCTAGACTCCTTCTTGACCCCAAGGGNCTGATTAGGCGAAACTAACCTATGGTGACAGACATCAGAAATGTTGTTACCTTCTGGGTGGGGAGAGGTGGGAAGCTTACTGACTAAGGAGATGTGAGGGAGGCTTCTGGGATGCTGGGAAGGCTCTATGCGTTGATCCGGATGGCAGATATGTGGTGTGTTTCATGTGAAAATGCACCAAGCTGTACATGTAAGATCTGTGCACTTTGCAGCATGTATGCCACACTTAAAAGTTAAAAACTAAAATAAAGGCGATTATAAGGCCAAAATAAATCAAGAAAAGCAGAGTCCACAGCTCTTTCAGAAATACCTGCTGCTACACTGTCCTCTATACTGATGACCCCCTAGACTCCTTCTTGACCCCAAGGGCGACCAATGGACAGGCAATGCATTTTATGGTTAAGGAAGAACATACAGGCGCAACATTTTCTGGGACCACTTGTTGAGCAAGGCCGGGGGCGCCTCCGGGCTCTGCTGTTACCTGCACGTAGAGCAGTCTGTCCAGCCGCTCCTGGTCGAGCTGCAGCTTCTCCTCCCGCCGCCGGGCGTTGAGCTCCTGCAGACGCCGCAGCTGCTGCTGCCGCCTTTCCTGCTTCTCCTCCGCGGTCAGAGTGCTGCCCAGGAGCTTGTTGGAAAATGGCAGCTGCATCTTGTGGACGTTATTTTCATAATAATCAGGGCACCGCCATTTTTGCAATTCTTCAAAGAAACAATTTTGAAAGTTATGAAATGGCAATACTACTAGCATAGAAATTAGAAAGTCAATACCAGGGTTCCAGGTCTGGGGAAGAAAGAAAAAGCACACGCTACCCAGTGTGTATCTCTGAACCACCCAGTCAACAAAATGTGGCTATAAAACCTGGACATATGACAACAGACCTGTTCTAAAATCACTGCTAAATAAAGCTCTTCGGACAGAAATGATACCAGAAAGAAAACTGGAACACCAGGAATAAAGGAAGAGCAACAGAAATGATGAAAACCTGGTTAAATGTACACATATTAACAGG